ATATATTCTCAAATGTTAATTAAACAAGGTGGTCAGGTCAGGTCAAGAGACTTTTTTTTTTTTTTTTTAAGTACAAGGCACAGTCAGGAATGAATGGAGCAGAGGGGGCTGGGAAGGGGAGAAGGCTGTGGATGAGCCTGGGGGCTAGTGATCTTGCTGGAGAGTTCCCTAACTACTTATACCGCTTCTTCCTATACTGATTGAACATCTGGGGGTCTCCTGCATAGGATCTCTTCCCAGGTCAGATGCAGAAAAACACTGATGTCTTTTGCTTTTCTACAGGAATATAGAAGAAAATAAATAGAAATTAGCCTTTATGAGGCGATACTATGTGCCAAGGTATATTATTGGACACTTCAACCATCAATTCCCACCAAATTCCCATCACAGCCCAGTGAGTTGAGTGCTAGCATGCTCATTTAGAAATAAACAAACTAGGGTTCAAATACACTAAGTAATCTGCCCAAAAGCCAGAACTCATTCAGATTCTGCATTCTTTTCAGCACACAAAGTTCCCTTACTCTTTACCAGCAATTTAACCCAGCTCTTGGGTGCATCTTTTCTTCCGAGATGCTTCTTAGCTCAGTGGGTTTTATTTTTTCTTCCCTGGAGGTCAACTTCTCCTCAAAATGTTGGTGATAACTTCCTGTAGTTTCATTTTGCCCTAAAAAGAATGAAAGAAATTATAGTCTGGCACACAGATCCTAGCTTTCCAGCCTTAGTTCTGAGTAGCAGCATGGCTCTGAGAGATTCATTCATTTTTTTTGTTAGGAGAGAGGGCCTGGCTGACTCTTGACTACTAACTAAAGGTAAGTGGCTCTCCCTGCTGGTACCTCACTCAAGCCTGAAGAGAAGATGACCTGAGGTAAGGGGAAGGAAGTCCTAGCAGGAAAAGAGGCTATGTCACCTAATCATAAGGTGAATTAATTTCCTAGGGCTGCCATCACAAATTACCACACACTGGGTGTCTAAGGCAACAAGGATTTATTCTTTCACAGCTATGGAAGCTAGAAGTCTGAAATCAAGGCATTAACAGGACCACACTTCCTCTAAAGGGTCTAGGGAAGAATTCTTCCTTGCCACCTCCAACTCCTGGTGTCTCCAGCCATGTTTGGCCCTCTTTGTCTTGGAAAAGCATCATCCCAACTGTTGTCTCTATCTTTACATGGTGTTCTTCCCTGTATGTGTCTCTGTGTCTCTTCTCTTCTTATAAGGACACTAGTAATATTGAATTAGAGTCCATCCTAATCCAGTGTGACTCATCTTAATTTGGGGGGTTTTGTATCTAGAATGAGGAACTTGGTGGCAGGGATTGGGGCTGAAACTAGGTGGTCTGGAGTAGGGCTGGAGACAAGGTACTCTCAGGGATGGGCTCCGCTTGCTCATGTCTAACTGCTGTAGACGATCAGAAACTTTGAAACTGTATCAGTAAGAATGAAACAGCCCATTTTTTAAAAAAGTTGTTTAGCTTAAAACTATTCAAATTTATTCTTACAGTTTTGGAAACCTGAAATTAAAAATCAGTTTCCCTGGGCCAAAATTAAGGTGTGAAAGGAGCCATGCTCCCTCTGGATGCTCCAGGGGAGAATGTGTTTCCTTGTCTTTTCTAGCTTCTAGAGGTGAAACAACCCACTTTTGCTTGAAGGACCCAAGTCATTTTGAGGCAGAGAAGCAGCCTCCATTTTTAACCCTATGTAAAACTTCAGATAAGGGGTTTCTGGACACAACTTTCCACATTGATTCCAGGGTGTAGTATGTACCAGAAAACAGAAGTCCGGGGCCACTGTGCAGCCCACACCTGAGACCTATCCCCATTACTGCAGCCTTACTTTGCTTGGAGCCTGTTTCACTGAAATTTTCCCTTATCTCCAACCTTATCACAAAACCTATCTGTTCCTTTATTTGATGAAGCCCCTTGGATTCTTTAGTGTGCAGGCTCCCTGATTGAAGTGGATGAGTAAACCTGATTTTGTCAGCCATGACCCTAAGCGGATTGGACTATCCCAGAATGCTATATCACTACTACCCCATCTCCTGCTGGTCTCATGAGACTGGATGAAGACAGAGACCCCAGGAATCTTCTGGTCCTGACCATTGCCCTCCCAGCAAGAACTAGAGGAACCTTGCCTCACTAAATCTTCTGCTGGGATTTAACTTTTTGTTATTTTTTTTCTCTTTCTCCCAAACAAATACACACTCTTTCTCTAAACTGTGTCTTTCTTCTTCCTTTTCTGGGCACTCTTCATGAAGGTGTGCTTTGTCTCAGAGGTCAGCAAACTATAGCAATGGCCAAATCCTGCCTGCTTCTTGTTTTGTTTGTTTGTTTGTTCTTGTTTGTTTGGGGTTTTTTTTGAGTTGGAGTCTCACTCTGTCGCCCCAACTGGAGTGCAGTGGCCGCTCCCGGCCACCGCAGCCTCGACCTGCTGGGCTCCGGCGATCCTTCCACCTCAGCCTTCCAAGTAGCTGGAACTACAAGCACGCACTACCATGCCCAGCTATTGCTTCTTGTTTTTATAAATAAAGTTTTATTCAAACAGACCACACTCATTCATTTACTTATTGCCTATAGTTGCTGTCACACAACAACAGCAGAGCTGAGTAGTTGTAACAGAGACCACCTGGGCCACAGAGTTGAAAATATTTATTACACAGCCCTCAGAGGAAAAGTTTGCTGACCCTGTTTAATCGTCCAACTCGGCTTTGTCAATTCCATTCATTCCCCAATTCACAGCAAGCTGTCTTTCCCTCCCTTCCACTGGTCTATCCAAAGTGCCTTTCAGTGACAATAATCAGTTGCCAATACATACATATGAACACTTAGACCAATGTCTGGTATGGACTGTGCATTGTGTAAGTGTTGTTATTAATACTTTTTTAAAAATTAAGATTCCCCCCTTCCTCCCCCTTTGTAAAACTCTCTTTTCCTCTTCCCTCTGCTTTCAGGAAACTACTCCTTCCCATCCTCCTCCTGCTTAATTGACCAATTTTTCCTCTACCCACATATGAGGGGGGACCCAAAAAACCCCCGAAATTATCGTTTAGAGGGCGGGCCTCTTGTAGTATACTCAGAATTTGTTCCTCTAGATCAAAGAGTGAACCAAAGTTTTCATCTGAAAGTTTTAAGAAGTTTGTGCCACAATTTGCAGAAGAAACATCCCTAGTTGTAGCAAACAGGTGACTGGTTCTTCCACCATGACAATGCACCTGCCCACACTACGCTGAAGTGTTTAGCAGTTTTTGATCAAATACAGCATGACCCCCGTGCCCCACCCTCCCTATTCACCTGATCTCATCCTGAGCAACTTTTTTTGTTTCCTCAGATGAAAAATGTTCTCAAAGGCAAACGTTTTGCCAGGGTGGGAGAGGTGAAACAAGAACAGCAGAAGCACTAAAAGACACAAAAATTGATGAGATCAAAACTGTTTTGAGCACTGGAAAAAACATCTCAATAGGTGTACTACATCAAACAGAGAGTACTTTAAAAGTGACTGAAGTTAAAACATACATGTAAGAATAAATGCACAATTTTTTATAAACAAATTCTGGGGTTTTTTTAATTCCCCTGATAAAACAAAGCTTTCTTCCTCTCATTCCATGGATTAACAGTGGGCTAATCTGCATTCACACTTCAGTTCATCCCTCTGTGTTCGTGGCAGCCTAGTCTGTATCTCCCTCCAGCCAAGAAATGTCTCACAGGCACCGCACACTCAGGGAGTCCACACTCAAACTCCTCCTCCTCCCCTTCCCACCTCCCTCTTTTACTCTCTCCTTCCCTCCTTCCCTTCTCCTTCTCTCTTCTCCTTCCTCCCTCCTCCCTCTTCTCTCCCCATTCTACCTTCTTCCTCTTCCCCACCTTCCCCTTCCACTCCTTCTCTTAAGTTCTCTGTGTCAGTGGTTGTCACTGCTGACTCACCAAATCCTCAAGCGAAGACAGCTAGGAGTGTACTCAGCCCACTCCCAGTGGGATTTGGCCCATGTGTCCAGCTGAGTCTGCTCTCCTCCATGCCAGTTCCCTCCCATACTCATCCCTCCTCTAGACCCATCCTCTCTCCTACCAGCCCCACTCCTCCCAGCTCCCCATATCCTGGTGCCCCCTAAAATTAAGAGCCACTATTAGAGCACAGTTCAGAGGATCTGCAGCTTGACTGTGGTCCGTAGTTTAAATCCTGGTGCTCGCCACTTGCTTTGGCTGATCCTGAGGCTGGTGTCAAAATTTCAAACCCATCCCCTTCTTGAGTGTTTTGATACCCATGTCTTCCGGCAGGGGGCACAAAGGAAGCAGATCTACACCCATGGCAGATCTCCAAAAGGGTCTACTGACTACTCTCTATAAAGAGCTTGTTCCTAACCCTAGATGGTATCTGCATGTTTGACAAGCTCCCAAAATGATTCCCAAGGACAAAAACAAAGGACCGACCTCAGGGGTTTAGTTCATGCACCCGTTCAAATACTAAAGTTTCCCATTAGCTTTTCCTGTGGTTCTTGAGCTGTGTGGCACATTCCTGCTCTTCTAGTTCTCTCCAAGTTCTCAGGTATGTATAAATCTATTCATTTATCTTCAGCTTTGAAGTCATTACTTTTTTTGAACTGATAGAATATAGGGACAAAAGGAAGATATGCGAGTCATTGGTTTAGTAACAGGATCCTAAACCCAAAGTCAGGATGAATAGATTCAGGTCCTAAATCTACGTGTGCTTGGGAAAAACATTAATCTTGAGTCTCTGTTATCATATGTGCACTCTGAAGGGCACAGGCTAGTGACTCTGAAGGCATTTTCAGCTATCAATTTCAGTGTCAACCCTTTTCTAGAAAGGGCGAGGAAGCTGCTACAGGGAGGGGAAGCTGTTGCTTGTTTTACCTCATGAAGATAAAATTGTAGTGAGACAGGCTTGGCAGCTTTGAGGAGGCCCACCCAGAAAGAGCATCTGTGACAAAATTTTATAGGAAAGTTGGGCATGGCTGCACAAGTAAAAGGTGTTATCCAGGCCAATAAGTCAGTTGGAGTTATAGCTCAGGGGTAGAGTATTTGATAGCAGATCAAGAGGTCCCTGGTTCAATTCCAGGTGCCTTCCTGCTGCCCATCTGCTTTTGCTCCCTGGGGCTGATGTTGAAGATTCAGCTCCCTTCCCCAATCCTAAATCTTGGGGTACTAAGCATCCCAAATCTGAGGGAAAGACGAGGGCAACTTAAAACTCTGTCACTGAGACCACAGTCTCGGAGTGATAAATTCCTTTAACTCTGACTTTTTATTTAACTTACCAAAAGTTTTTTTCTACATAACCTGGTTTAGTTTCACTTTTTCTATGTGTTTTCATAAACCCCAAATCAGTAGTGTGCTGGTACATGTTTAGCCCCTGGTTCTGGGGGTGGTGGTAACTTAGTGTTTTCCAATTGCACAGTGTACATAAAACTACTATGGGAAATTTCAAGCTACAAATATGAGATAATGGAACATGGAGTTGGGAAGATATGCTAACAAGTAACTCCCTGCTGCAAGCCAGCTTGAACACACCACTGTCCCTAATCCACCTTCCCCACAGAGGCGTGAGATTTTTGACTCTGCTCCATCTTCACAACACTTACTGACATTAGAACAGTGGTTCTCACTTCTCCATTCATCCCTGGAATCGTTCGTTCATTCAAGTCATCATGAATTCCTACTCAATGGCAGACACAGGAAAGAAAGAGCTGAGCAAGAACTGTCTATAGTGAGCAAAACAGTCAAATGAAGAAATAATTAAGCAATGACAAGGATAGCTAAACAAAAGAATATCGAGTGCTATTTTAAAACTTAAAGGATTTCTATTACTAGCAATACCCTAGATTAAATGTTTTAAAACTCCTCATACCTCAAAACACCCAGAAATGCAAGATAAAATATAACATACATTCCTAGGTATAGCTGAGGTCTCATAACAGCAAAAGATATCTCTCAAGTGGGGGTGGGAATGGGGTGATAAACTAAAACCCTGAGAGGGAAATTTGAACTGACCCTGGGAAGACCTGTGGTGGTTGTGGTGAGATAATCTAGATGCTTGAGTTTTCATAGCCATATGGGTACAGGAGATTAGGCCTTAGACCTGGTGTCCTTCTTCTCTCATATAAAGTCAAACTCTTAGAGAATTGCATCATTAGGATGGGCAAAAAAAATCCATCCACCAGTATAAGAAGACAAGAGGTTTTTCTCTTCAAGAGGAGCAAAGGACATCTTTTCTAAGGATTCATAACCACAGATCTGCTCTCACATTGTTAAGGCTTTGAACTTACACCACTAAAAGTACATGGTTTAGAAACTCCCCAGTCCGAGACTTAACATGAAAGTGCTCAGGTTAACAGTGATTCTGGAGTACATGAAAGAAGCAAACACAAAGTCTGAAGGGCATGCCCTAAGGCCAGACTGCACAGGATTCCTGCTGATAAAACCTGGCTTAATATGGGCCCACAATTCAAAGTAATACAATATCTAAGGAATCGGTATGCTATGTGTAAAAGCCATTAAAAAAATAATGTCAGAAAATAGAATTATCTGGTAGATAATATAAAGTAAATATGGTTAAAATTATTAAAGATATAAGAAATTGAAATCATGAGAACATGTGAATTTTTTTAAATGATAAAGCAGATTCATCTAAAATGAAGAACATAACCACTAAAATTGATCATATAATTAACAGATTAAGCACAACTTAGACAAAGCTACAGAGAAATTTAGGAGTGAAGTAGAATACAAATATTTTAAAAATGACCAAGAATGAGCACAAAGGTCTAAGAAATAGAGAAAATATTAAAAAGTAACTAAACAAGATGGAGAAGAATAAAGGGATTCAACCTATGTCAAATGCAAATTCCACAAGGAGATAATATAATGAGGGAGAGGTAATATTAAAAGATACAATGGCTGAGAATTTTCCAAACATGTACAAAGACATGATACCTCAGATTTAGGATTAATGAGTTCTAAGAAAGATAAATAAAAGATCCATACCAAGGCACATAGCAGTGGCACCTCATAATATCATAGTCAAAGAGATGATCTCAGAAGCAGCCAGAGAGAGAAAACAAATCATGTGCAAAAGAATAATTAGACTGACAATAGACTTTTCACCAATGATGAAAGTCAAAAGACAATGGAATACAACATTTAAAATGTGAAAGAAAATAACTATGACCTAGAATTCTCTCCTTAGCTAAACTATCATTCAGGAGTGAGAAAAAAGTAAGACATTTTCATATAACTGAAAGCATCTATTTGTAAAAATCCTTGTCGAAAAAACTTTTAAAACTTGTACTTTAGGAAGAATAGTGAACCTGGAAGAAAGGAGAAAAAGATAGGAAAAAAAGTGAAAAAAGATACTGGTGAGCACATTGGTAAATCTAAACTGCACAGATTGTATAAAACAAAAACAATGACGTTAAATGTCAGAGAGGCCTAAAAACAAGATGTAACAACAACAACAAGGGGCATGGTGTGACTAAACCAGTATACAGAAAGCCTTCTGTTGTTTGGAAGGAGAGTGGAAAAGTAATTAACCTAAGATAATATTAAAGCAACTTTGTGTATAAAATTGTAAAGAGTAACCCCTAAAAGAATAGAAAAGGAAGGCATACCTTTTAAATCAGTAGAAAGAAAAAAAATGAATAAAGAAAATTGGTCAATCTGATAGAGTAAAAGAAAGGAGAAAAAGAACAGGAAGAAAATCAGAATAAATAGAAAGTACAAAATAAAATGTAGAAATAAATAATTAAAAATCATAATAAATGCAAATGGACTATTTGCCAGTTAAGATAGAGATTGTCAAACTGAATTCAACAACAAAAAAAATCTAACTACACACTCTTACATCAGAAGCATAAATATACAGAAAGTTTGAAAGTAAAAGGGGCTGGGTGCAGTGGCTCACGTCTATAATCCTAGCACTTTGGGAGGCTGAGTGAGAGGATTGCCTGAGCCCATGGGTTCGAGACCAGTCTGGGCAACTTGGTGAAACCTCATCTCTACAATAAATCAAAAAATTAGCCAGGCATGGTGACGCACACCTATAGTTCCAGTCACTTGAAAGGCTGAGGTGGAAGGATAGCCTGAGTCCAGCAGGTTGAGGCTGTAGTGGCTGTGAGCATGCCACTACACTTCAGCCTGGGTGACAGAATGAGACTCCAACTTAAAAAAAAAAAAAAAAAAAGAAAGTAAAAGGGTGGGAAAAGATATATCAACCAAATACAAGCCAAAGTAAAGTTAGTATAGCTATATCTGTTAGGCAGCGGTCAGACATGAGTAGGAGGGGCCCATCCCTGAGAGTACCTTGCCTTCAGCCACACCCTGGACCACCCAGTCTCAACTCAGTCCTAGCTCCAAGTTCCTCATTCTAGATGAGAAGTCCATTTTATGGTTGTATCTACATGGAACTTGCCAGACCTGCATGCATACACATTAGAAGCTACTGTCTTCATGTGACCTCGCAATTACCATATCATTAGCATTGATTAACACTGTGTTTTTACCCCCCTGCGGGTTTCACTTAGGTACTCATGGAAAACCAACATGTGCAATCTCAAAAAGTTATATAATGCAAGACTTGTCCATCAAATTACAAAAAATGCAGATTGACAGAAGAACCAGGAAAAATAAAGTAGAAAACCCCATAAAACAAAAGCCTGCAGTTAATCAGGGGCTGATCCTTTCTCACACAGCCCGCTTCACCTTTCTTGCTACACAGAGTGTTACTTGCCCCAGCAATTGTTGGTGTCACATTTTCAATTCTTTGTTGATGAAACACAAGAAGCAAGGACAACAATGCAGATCCTGCTGGTCTGATAACATTTCAATATCAAACAATATGAATTATAGGCCAAAAGTATTATTAGGAATAAAAAATGTTACTTTAAAATAATAAAATGAAGAATTCTACAGGAAGAGACTACAATTCTGAATTTGCATGCACATACCCTCCAAATATGCAAAGCAAAAATTGTCACAAATTGTCACACAGGGAGAAATTGACAAATGCACAATCTTGATATAAGGTTTTAACACATCTCTTCAGCTACTGACAGTTCCAAAGGCAAAAAGATAGGATATAGAAGGCATAAATAACAAGGTCAATAAGCTTGCTTTAATAGCTCTAACTAGATCCTACAATCAACATTAGAATATACATACGCTTTTGAAACAATCAGGAAACATTTTCAAACACCTATTGCATACTTGACCACAAAGCAAGTCTTAGAAAATTCCAAAAAAGCATCATCACATACTACATTCCCTGACATAAGGCAAACAAAATGATAACTTCTAAACAAATACTTGCATTTGGAAATTAAAAGTAATTTTATGCAACCTCATGGGTGGAAAAATAAATCATCAGATTTTCAAAAAAATCAGAAAATATTTTTAAATTGCAGCCATTATCACATGGAAGAGTAGACAGCACAACTTACCTTTAGAGGGTGTTAGTAGATTCATATAGGAAACTAACTGACTAGCTTACCAAAAAGCCAATTCATAGAATGATCAGAAAGCTAAAAGCCAAATATGATGAAAGCTAAACTACTGAATACCGATTTGCTAAAAAACCAATTGAATTATTTTTTGTTTGTTTGTTTGTTTGTTTTGAGTTGGAGTCTCACTCTGTCACCCAGACTGGAGTGCAGTGGTCGCTCCCGGCCACTGCAGCCTCGACCTGCTGGGCACCGGTGATCCTACTGCCTCAGCCTTCCAAGTAGCTGGAACTACAGGCGCACGCTACCATGCCCGGCTAATTTTTTTTATTTATTGTAGAGATGAGGTCTCGCCAAGTTGCCCAGGCGGGTTTCGAACCCATGGGCTCAAGCAATCCACTCACCTCAGCCTCCCAAAGCACGGGATTACAGGCTGAGCCACCAAGCCCGACTTGAATTATTTTTTAAAGACATATTCCATCCCCACTCCTGACTTGGTTTGTGTCCAGAGCCACCGAATAAACCCAATTTAGGACAGTTCTCCACAATAACTGTTAAGTGCATATACAGGGGCTGGAATAAATACAGGTCTACGGGGTCAAAGGTGCAACTAAAATTTGGGGGACATGGGGGTGGC